CAATAATACCAAACCCTATTTTTTCCAATTATCCCTAAATATTATCATATTTCTAATTTTTTTAAAAAAATACTTAAGTAGAAGTGTGCAACATAATAACATAATTTTTGCTTTTCTATGTTTTCAATTTTATGAGGAAAGAGTAGGTAGAATTTTGTTTGGTTTGCATACATTTTTTTTTTTTTAAAAGTATACGTTTAATATAAGATTTTAATTTTAATTTTGTTTGTTTGTCATCGTAAACGAAAGTAATAAATCTGTTTTTCATGTTCAAGTCAATATGGGCACCAGTGCTAAAATAAACTAATATAGTCAACAAGTTTAGTAGTACTTTCGTAGAAGAGAAATACCACAATAATAATCAATTAAAATCTAGTATGAAAAATTAAATATTGTTTACATTTCTTTATGATGACAGCGATGCAGAATCTGATAGAGAACATGACACCGGGAAGAAAAGGGCATGTGGAGATGGACCAAGATGGTAATAACGAGGGGAAGTCAGGGGTAAATTCGTCACCTTACATGGGTAAAAAAGGCAGTGACGTGGAAGACGGTGATCACGGCGGTCGTCCGAGGAAACAGCAGATGCCACCAGCGAGCGTGATGACGAGACTGATACTGATAATGGTTTGGAGAAAACTTATTCGAAACCCTAACACTTACTCTAGTCTCTTTGGCCTTGCTTGGTCCCTCGTCTCCTTCAAGTAAGTACCACTATACGTACTATATATCACAGATCTAACATAACATTATATCATCTTTTAATATAAAATATTATACAAATTCGACATTTTTTCTAATGGATGTTAATTACACGACGTATTAAAACAACTTATCTTAAATATCTTTAACAATGAAACTTATCTTAAATATAGTATTTGCATATTACTTTTCCAACGGATGTTACACTTTTTTATCAAGATTTCACACTGAAAAAAGGAATCATACAAATTTAACTTTTAAAAAAAGTTACACGAAGAATATTATTATTAAATTTAAGAAAAATGCATATTATATATTTGTTTGTTGTCTAAAATGATCAGCATAAACTATTGACAACACCTAACATAAATTTGGATGCATGTTTGAAAGTAAAATAGATCGATATTTTGTTTTTTTAACATGCATAAATCTAATTTGATTTTATGGGACAGGTGGAATATAAAGATGCCTACGATAGTGAGTGGATCAATTTCCATATTATCTGATGCTGGTCTTGGCATGGCTATGTTTAGTCTTGGTATTGCTCCTCTTCATATATTTTTTTGGTTTATTCTACAAATATTTTGGTTTTGTGAAGTTTTTTACTAATTATTTCGTTTGTAAATAGGTCTATTTATGGCGCTGCAACCAAAAATAATAGCTTGTGGCAAATCAGTGGCAGTGTTTGCGATGGCCGTTCGGTTCTTGACCGGACCGGCCGTAATTGCAGCCACCTCTATTGCAATTGGTATTCGAGGCAGTCTCCTCCATATTGCGATCGTTCAGGTAATATATTATTAGGGCAATTGCAAAAATGCCACTTTTTGTGAGCACATTTACAAGAATGCCACTTAGGAGCATTTACAAAAATGCTACTAATTATAGATTTATAAAGCCTATATCTTAAAATTTTAAATCCCTCTAAACCTTCGTAACTAAACTCTAATAGAACATAATTAACCCAAACATAAATAATATAAAGAAAAAATAATTTTGAAAAAGTGGTATTTTTGTAAAGATTTCAAAAATGTGGCATTTTTGTAAAGTGAC